ATTTTCTTAACAATTGTAATCATAAAATTAATGCTGTAATTATTCACACACAGCAATAGGGCCGTTAAGTATTTTTTTATTGGCTTATTCGAAAGTTTTTTAAAATTGATTGACCCTATATTTTTTAATTTTTGATTCTGAGGCTTAGTTTTTCCAAAAAAAAATAATAAAGTTTGAAACTACAGGGCGCGAACTCCAAAGTACGTCACTCAGATTTTAACGTACGATTGGAGCGTATAAAATCAATAAAATTCTTGGAGAGAGACAATGCTACGAATCTTATGCGCTAGAAGAAAACAGGAGAGAACGTAATGTCATTGTGATTTTTTCTTCTTACTTGAAACGTCATCTGGAGTCGGGGGTGGGGAATTTTAAACTTTTACATTAATTTTTGCAAAAATTAAACAATTTTCGCACATGAACACGTTACTAATTCGTCTAATTTTATTTAGATTATCGATTTCTTGAAAGACGGTCTTTCTAATCGATTGATCTTAACGATCCTATTATACGAGGTTTTCGCAGTTTTAGTGGATGAAAGAGCTTGTGCAAACATGCTACCAACAAACCATTACATAGAGCTGAAATTTTTTTATAGATACTGTATAGTCTTGGAGTTTTGTCTGTATCATATAAGAAAGTTATATCGCCATATGATAATTATATGTAGATTTTGCAGTTTTTTCGAAGAAAATGTTTCTGTAACCATCCGATCTACTAAAGTTATATACCACTGCATAGAACGAAAAATTTCCTATTGATTGTATATGGTCAGGGAGTTTTCCATATCATATAAGAAAGTTACGACGCCTTAAACATTTACGGATTTTGCAGCTTTTGGGGGAAAAATGCTTGTGCAACCATGCGATCTACTAAAGTTATATACCATTGCATAGAGCGGAAAATTTCCTATCGATACAATATGGTCTCGAAGATTTGTTCGTATCATCTAAGAAAGTTACGACGTTTGAAACATTTATATACCGTAATTTTAAGCGGATTTTGCAGTTTTTTGGGCGAAACTGATTGAGAAACCATGGGATCTACATAAGATATATACCATTGCATAGAACGGAAAATTTCCGATAGGTTCTATATGGTCTCGGAGTTTTGCCCATGTCATATAAGAAAGTTATGGCGCCATATGATAATAATACGCGGATTTTGCAATTTTTGGGGGGAAAATGTTTCTGTAACCATCCGATCTACTACAGTTATATATTATTTAATAGAATGCAAAATTTCTTATTGATTATATATGGTCCCGGAGTTTTCCATATCATATAAGAAAGTTACGACGCCATAAACATTTACATACGATAATTATACGCGGATTTTGGAGTTTTTTGGGCAAAAATGCTTAAGAAACCATGGGATCTACTTAAGATATATACCATTGCATAGAACAGAAAATTTCCAATAGGTTCTATATGGTCTTGGAGTTTAGCCCATATCATATAAGAAAGNCTTTTTGGGCAAAAATGCTTAAGAAACCATGGGATCTACTTAAGATATATACCATTGCATAGAACAGAAAATTTCCAATAGGTTCTATATGGTCTTGGAGTTTAGCCCATATCATATAAGAAAGCTATATCGCCATATGATAAATATACGTAGACTTTGCAGTTTTTCGGGGGAAAATGTTTCTGTAACCATCCGATCTACTAAAGTTATATACCACTGCATAGAACGGAAAATTTCCAATAGGTTCTGTATGGTCTTGGAGTTTTGCCCATATCATATCAGAAAGTTATGGCACCATACGATAATTATACGCAGATTTTGCAGTTTTTTGGGAGAAAATGTTTCTGTAACCATCCGATCTACTACAGTTATATATTATTTAATAGAATGCAAAATTTCTTATTGATTATATATGGTCTCGGAGTTTTCCATATCATATAAGAAAGTTACGACGCCGTAAACATTTACATACGGTAATTATACGCAGATTTTGCAGCTTTTTGGGCGAAAATGCTTGAGAAACCATGGGATCTACTTAAGATATATACCATTGCATAGAACAGAAAATTTCCAATAGGTTCTATATGGTCTAGGAGTTTTGCCCATATCATATAAGAAAGTTATACCGCTATATGATAATTTTACGTAGATTTTGCAGTTTTTCGGGGGAAAATGTTTCTGTAAATATCCGATCTACTAAAGTTATGTACCATTTAATAGAATGGAAAATTTCCTATTGATTGTATATGGTTTCGGAGTTTTTTATATCATATAAAAAAATTACGACGCCTTAAACGTTTACATATGGTAATTATACGCGGATTTTGCAGTTTATGGGGGGAAATGCTTGTGCAACCATGTGAACTACTAAAGTTAGATACGACTGCATAGAGCGGAAAATTTCCTATCGGTTCTATATGGTCTCGAAGATTTGTTCGTATCATATAAGTAAGTTACGACGTTTTAAACATTTACATACCGTATTTTTACGCGGATTTTGCAGTTTTTTGGGCGAAAATGCTTGAGAAACCATGGGATCTACTTAAGATATATACCATTGCATAGAACAGAAAATTTCCAATAGGTTCTATATGGTCTTGGAGTTTTGCTCATATCATATAAGAAAGTTATATCGCCNGAAAATGCTTGAGAAACCAAGGGATCTACTTAAGATATATACCATTGCATAGAACAGAAAATTTCCAATAGGTTCTATATGGTCTTGGAGTTTTGCCCATATCATATAAGAAAGTTATGGCGCCATACGATAATCATACGCAGATTTTGCAGTTTTTGGGGGGAAAATGTTTGTGCGACCATGCAATCTTCTGAAGTTATATACCACTACATAGAGCGGAAAATTTCCTATCGATTCTATATGGTCTCGGAGATTTGTCTTTGTTATATAAGAAAGTTACGACGTTTTAAACATTTACACATGGTAATTTACGCAAATTTTGCAGTTTCTTGGGGGAAGATGCTTGTGCAACCATGCAATCTACTTAAGATATATACCATTGCATAGAACGGAAAATTTGCAATAGGTTCTATATGGTCTCGGAGTTTTGCCCATATCATATAAGAAAGTTGTGGCGCCATACGATAATAATACGCGGATTTTGCAGTTTTTGGGGGGAAAATGTTTGTGCGACAATGCGATCTTCTGAACTTTTATACCACTGCATAGAGCAGAAAATTTGCTATATCTTTGATACTGCCATAGTTTTTTGTTCCTACCAAATAAAAGAGTTGTATTGAGAAAGTTTAATCTACTAATTCTATGTGTAGTGTTGTTTATTATTGCCGGACAAAACGCTTATGGACAAAACCCATAAAATGTCGTATCTCGGATTTTGTTGAAGAAAAGATCAGGCTTTTTAGTGATGTATTCAATGTTCCGCTATCTCTAAAGACAACGAAAATATCGTCTTTTAAAGTAAGTGAAAAACTGTCGTCGCACGTTTAAAAATTTAATTACTTCTTATTGTTGTTGGATTTAAAGTAACATCAGCACTTAGAGTGCCACCACAAATCCTATCAACGTTTGCAGATGGACCAGTTACAGGTCTTCCAACGTTCGAGGCCATCGGAATAATTAAATAATCGTTTTGGCAAAAATTTCCTGTCCCAGTACTTCCAACCATCGCTTGAATTCCGTTCGATTGAGTGTTTCCGGATAATGTAAAAGATTGCGAACGATTATTGACTAAAATAAAATAAAAATTATTAATTTTTTTTTAATAATATTTAATTCTACCCGTATCTGGACATTGAGTGTATTGGATACTGCAAAAATTTCTTTCCGCTCGTACGCAGATGCTGTAATCTTGGTTAGAGAGTTGGAGGCCGCTCGCTGGATCGTAGTTGAACGACCTTATTTGACCCGCAACCCCACTAAAATACTGCAAGCAACCCTCATCCGCTAAAACATATCGATAAATCACTTATTGAGTTTTTAAACCTTATTGTTCACCCCTATTCGATGTTCCACATAAAATTTGGTGTATTTTAATTTTCCAATTACGCTGGAACGATGGGCCGCTAGTTATCATTGAAAGAATGATTGGGGTTGTTGTTCCCGCCCCAGCATCAACATACACTTTCAACAAAATAAATAACGTTAAATAAATTTCATTTAATAACTAACAAGGGGACCACCAGACGTGTGACCCTCCGATTTTGAAAAAATTTGGTGTAAGGNTTTAAAGTAACATCAGCACTTAGAGTGCCACCACAAATCCTATCAACGTTTGCAGATGGACCAGTTACAGGTCTTCCAACGTTCGAGGCCATCGGAATAATTAAATAATCGTTTTGGCAAAAATTTCCTGTCCCAGTACTTCCAACCATCGCTTGAATTCCGTTCGATTGAGTGTTTCCGGATAATGTAAAAGATTGCGAACGATTATTGACTAAAATAAAATAAAAATTATTAATTTTTTTTTAATAATATTTAATTCTACCCGTATCTGGACATTGAGTGTATTGGATACTGCAAAAATTTCTTTCCGCTCGTACGCAGATGCTGTAATCTTGGTTAGAGAGTTGGAGGCCGCTCGCTGGATCGTAGTTGAACGACCTTATTTGACCCGCAACCCCACTAAAATACTGCAAGCAACCCTCATCCGCTAAAACATATCGATAAATCACTTATTGAGTTTTTAAACCTTATTGTTCACCCCTATTCGATGTTCCACATAAAATTTGGTGTATTTTAATTTTCCAATTACGCTGGAACGATGGGCCGCTAGTTATCATTGAAAGAATGATTGGGGTTGTTGTTCCCGCCCCAGCATCAACATACACTTTCAACAAAATAAATAACGTTAAATAAATTTCATTTTATAACTAAAATAATAATTACTGTGATTTCCCATGTTGTTTCCGCAAATTGAAGGAACCGGATTTCCCCCGGAAACAATAAATTGATCATTATTACATGTGTTGTGTTGATTTTCTGGTCCCACAACAAGAAATTGATCAAAATCGAGTCTGTATTGGCAAACATCCGGTCGAGACTTCAATAAAGTTATTTGACAAGATCCCGTCTCATCGTAAGCTGAGGGATAATTGGTTTGGACGAAGAATGTTCCGTTCTCACGAACGGTTGTTCCACAAGATGCTAAAACTAACACAAAATTAATCCATTAAAAAATATAAAAATAACTTACATATACAACAAGTCCCATAACCATTTGCACAAACCCCGTTGGATGTTCCACCTCTTTGTTGGCAATCAGCTGAAGTCATACAAGTTCCAACATCCCCTGTAGCTCCCATACATTGTTCGTTTTCGAATTGGACCAAAGTAAATAACGATAAAACTAAATAAAAATTAGTTTGTTTAAAAAGAACCTTAATCCTTAACCTTAACACATACATCGATTTTGTCGATTATTAAATCCTCCGGTTCTTTGATTAAATCTTGATGGTGCTAAAGAATTTTTTCTACCAAAAATCTCCCTCCATTGACTTTTTTGGATTTGATTTTCAGAAATCTCCTCGCAAACACTAAATGATACCCAACAAAGAAATAGAATCCGTAAAAAATACATGGTAACACATAAACGTGGTAGTAACAAAAAGAACGGAAGGTGTTTGAGCCTTAAAACCGGAAAACAATAGTTTTTATAACAATTACTTTGATGATTATGATGAGATGAAAGCTAAAAAAGATAAAATAAAAAAATAACTTTCACTACCCGGACGTTTTATTTTTTGAGAGCAATTAAACTATCCGTTGAGTTGTCATCGCTACACATTATCCGAGTTTCCCAACAATTTCATGGTTTCGAACAAAACGCATCAAACCGAATAATCGCGTACACATACACTTGAAAACCTATTGTTTAAATCGAAACAATCACCTCTGGTAATGTAAATAAAAAAGAAAATGTTAGAGAGGAAAATGAATTTCAAAAAGTATAAATTTACTTTGTTTTTTATCAGCACCGAATGATTTCTGCATTCAAAGCTTCTCTTTTTGGAACATATAACAAATATTAGTTAAGCCGGAGTTTTTAATTTCCGAAATTAAAAAGAATTGGATCAAAAATTCATTTGTTTCAAAACTTTTCAATAATTAATTATTCATTAAAAATTAATCATATCTCAAAATCTAATTGAGATATAATGATGGACTAAAAAGCATTTTAAAACAAATTTAATGAAGAATAAGTGTGCCATAGAAAATTTCTTCGTTTCCATAAACATCGTAGTTATTACTCTTTAATCCCAGCTCTGCACAATTAAATGTTGTAAACTTAAAAGTTGACTTAAATAATCGTATCTCAAGAACGGATTGAGATATCATGATGAAATAAAAAATATTTTAAAGCAAATTTAATCACGAATAAGTGTGCCATAGAAAATTTCTTCGTTTCCATAACCATCGTAGTTATGACTTTTAATCCCAACTGTGCACAATTAAATCTTGTAAACTTAAAGATTGACTTAAACAGGATGTTCCACATAAAATTTGGTGTATTTTAATTTTCCAATTACGCTGGAACGATGGGCCGCTAGTTATCATTGAAAGAATGATTGGGGTTGTTGTTCCCGCCCCAGCATCAACATACACTTTCAACAAAATAAATAACGTTAAATAAATTTCATTTTATAACTAAAATAATAATTACTGTGATTTCCCATGTTGTTTCCGCAAATTGAAGGAACCGGATTTCCCCCGGAAACAATAAATTGATCATTATTACATGTGTTGTGTTGATTTTCTGGTCCCACAACAAGAAATTGATCAAAATCGAGTCTGTATTGGCAAACATCCGGTCGAGACTTCAATAAAGTTATTTGACAAGATCCCGTCTCATCGTAAGCTGAGGGATAATTGGTTTGGACGAAGAATGTTCCGTTCTCACGAACGGTTGTTCCACAAGATGCTAAAACTAACACAAAATTAATCCATTAAAAAATATAAAAATAACTTACATATACAACAAGTCCCATAACCATTTGCACAAACCCCGTTGGATGTTCCACCTCTTTGTTGGCAATCAGCTGAAGTCATACAAGTTCCAACATCCCCTGTAGCTCCCATACATTGTTCGTTTTCGAATTGGACCAAAGTAAATAACGATAAAACTAAATAAAAATTAGTTTGTTTAAAAAGAACCTTAATCCTTAACCTTAACACATACATCGATTTTGTCGATTATTAAATCCTCCGGTTCTTTGATTAAATCTTGATGGTGCTAAAGAATTTTTTCTACCAAAAATCTCCCTCCATTGACTTTTTTGGATTTGATTTTCAGAAATCTCGCAAACACTAAATGATACCCAACAAAGAAATAGAATCCGTAAAAAATACATGGTAACACATAAACGTGGTAGTAACAAAAAGAACGGAAGGTGTTTGAGCCTTAAAACCGGAAAACAATAGTTTTTATAACAATTACTTTGATGATTATGATGAGATGAAAGCTAAAAAAGATAAAATAAAAAAATAACTTTCACTACCCGGACGTTTTATTTTTTGAGAGCAATTAAACTATCCGTTGAGTTGTCATCGCTACACATTATCCGAGTTTCCCAACAATTTCATGGTTTCGAACAAAACGCATCAAACCGAATAATCGCGTACACATACACTTGAAAACCTATTGTTTAAATCGAAACAATCACCTCTGGTAATGTAAATAAAAAAGAAAATGTTAGAGAGGAAAATGAATTTCAAAAAGTATAAATTTACTTTGTTTTTTATCAGCACCGAATGATTTCTGCATTCAAAGCTTCTCTTTTTGGAACATATAACAAATATTAGTTAAGCCGGAGTTTTTAATTTCAGAAATTAAAAAAAAATAGATATCAAAATCAATTTAAAATTAGATCATACCTCAAAATCTAATTGAGATATAATGATGGAAAAAAAGCATTTTAAAACAAATTTAATGGAGAATAAGTGTGCCATAGAAAATTTCTTCGTTTCCATAAACATCGTAGTTATTACTTTTTAATCCCAACTCTGCACAATTAAATGTTATAAACTTAAACAGTTGACTTAAAAAAATCGTATCTCAAGAACGAATTGAGATATTGTGATGAAATAAAAAACGTTTTAAAGCAAATTTAATCACGAATAAGTGTGCCATAGAAAATTTCTTCGATTCCATAAACATCGTAGTTATGACTTTTTAATCCCAACTCAGCACAATTAAATGTTGTAAACTTAACGATTGACTTAAACAGTCGTATCTCAAGAACGGATTGAGATATCATGATGAAATAAAAAACGTTTTAAAGCAAATTTAATCACAAATAAGTGTGCCATAGAAAATTTCTTCGATTTCATAAACATCGTAGTTATGACTTTTTAATCCCAACTCAGCACAATTAAATGTTGTAAACTTAAAAGTTGACTTAAAAAATCGTATCTCAAGAACGGATTGAGATATCATGATGAAATACGAAATATTTTTAAGCAATTTTAATCAAGAATAAGTGTGCCATAGAAAATTTCTTCGTTTCCATAAACATCGTAGTTATGTCTTTTTAATTTCAACTGTGCACAATTAAATGTTGTAAACTTAAAAATTGACTTAAAATTGAGATATCATGATGAAATAAGAAATATTTTAAAGCAATTTTAATCAAGAATAAATGTGCCATAGAAAATTTCTTCGACACATTGTAGCTTTTAGCACATTGTAGATTTAAAAAGTTGAAATTAAAAAATCGTATCTCAAGAACTAATTGAGATATAATAATGGAATAAAAACCAGTTTGAAGCAAATTTAATGGAGAATAAGTATGCCATAAAAAATTTCTTCGTTTCCATAAACATCGTAGTTACGATTTTTTAATCCTAACTGTGCGTTATTAAACATTTTAAATTTGAAAGTTGAAATTATAAAATAGTATCTCAAGCACTAATAGAGATATAATAATGAAATGAAAAGCATTTTGAAGCAAATTTAATGGAGAATAACTGTGCCTTAGAAAATTTCTTCGATTCCATATACATCGTAGTTATGAGTTTTTAATCTCAACTCTGCACAATTAAATGTTGTAAACTTAAAGGTTGGCTTAAACAATCGTATCTCTAGAACGGATTGAGATATCATGATGAAATAAAAAACGTTTTAAAGCAAATTTAATGAAGAATAAGTGTGCCGTAAAAAATTTCTTTGTCTCCATAATCATCGTAGTTATGAGTTTTTAATCCCAACTCTGCACAATTAAATGTTGTAAACTTAAAACTTGATTTAAACATTCGTATCTAAAGAACGAAGTGAGATATCATGATGAAATAAGAAATGGTTTAAAGCAAATTTAATCAAGAATAAGTGTGCTATAGAAAATTTCTTCGTTTCCATAAACATCGTAGTTATGACTTTTAAATCCCAACTCTGCACAGTTAAATGTTGTAAACTTAAAAGTTGATTTAAAAAATCGTATCTCAAGAACTAATTGAGATATACAAATGAAATAAAAAGCAGTTTGAAGCAAATTTAATGGAGAATAAATGGGCATTAGAAAATTTCTTCGTTTCCATAAACATCGTAGTTATGATTTTTTAATTCCAATGTCCACAATTAAATATTGTAGATCTAAAAAGTTGAAATTAAAAAATCGTATCTCAAGAACTAATTGAGAAATAATAATGAAATAAAAAACAGTTTGAAGCAAATTAAATGGAGAATAAGTATGCCATAGAAAATTTCTTTGTTTCCATAAATATCGTAGTTATGATTTTTTAATCCTAACTGTGCATTATTAAACATTGTAAATTTAAAAGTTAAAATTAAAAAATCGTATCTCAAGAACTAATTGAGATATAATGATGGAATAAAAAGCAGTTTAATACAGATTTAATGGAGAATAAGTGTGCTATAGAAAATTTCTTCGTTTCCATAAATATCGTAGTTATGACATTTTAATTCCAACTCTGCACAATTAAATGTTGTAAACTTAAAAATTGACTTAAATAATCGTATCTCAAGAACGGATTGAGATATCATGATGAAATACAAAATATTTTAAAGCAAATTTGATCACGAATAAGTGTGCCATAGAAAATTTCTTCGTTTCCATAAACATCGTAGTTATGACTTTTTAATCCCAACTCAGCACAATTAAATGTTGTAAACTTAAAGATTGACTTAAACAGTCGTATCTCAAGAACGGATTGAGATATCATGATGCTTTAAAAAACATTTTAAAGCAAATTTAATTACGAATAAGTGTGCTATAGAAAATTTTTTCGTTTCCATAAATATCGTAGTTATGACATTTTAATTCCAACTCTGCACAATTAAATGTTGTAAACTTAAAAATTGACTTAAATAATCGTATCTCAAGAACGGATTGAGATATCATGATGAAATAAAAAATATTTTAAAGCAAATTTAATCAAGAATAAATGTGCCATAGAAAATTTCTTCGACACATTGTAGCTTTTAGCACATTGTAGATTTAAAAAGTTGAAATTAAAAAATCGTATCTCAAGAACTAATTGAGATATAATAATGGAATAAAAACCAGTTTGAAGCAAATTTAATGGAGAATAAGTATGCCACAGAAAATTTCTTTGTTTCCATAAATATCGTAGTTATGATTTTTTAATCCTAACTGTGCATTATTAAACATTGTAAATTTAAAAGTTGAAATTATAAAATAGTATCTCAAGAACTAATTGAGATATAATAATAAAATAAAAAGCATTTTGAAGCAAATTTAATGAAGAATAACTGTGCCTTAGAAAATTTATTCGTCTCCATAAACATCGTAGTTAGGATTTTTTAATCCCAACTCTGCTCGTTTGATTGTTATTGATTTTAAATACAAAAATTAAAAAAATGATATATCTCAAAAACGAATTGAGATATATTAATGAAATAAAAAGCAGTTTGAAGCAAATTTAATGGAGAATAAGTGTGCCTTAGAAAATTTCTTCGTTTCCATAAACATCGTAGTTATGATTTTTTAATCCCAACTCTATACGTTCGATTAATCGTTATAAGTTTTTTAGGATGTATAAGCTTTATTAGATGCTATATTATATAGGACTTACACAAGCTACATGACGGTTATCTTTTGGCTTATGGTTATTAATACCATTTAATTACTGCTCCTATTGTTTATTATCAAGGGGTGAGATGGTGGATAACGTTTATTGTCATGGATAAACTAATCACGAATTATTAACTGTACGATTTGGTCCCCATTTGGATAGATGTATGACATCAATTTGAAAATAAAAAATCATTAAAAAGAAAAAATATTCGGTTATAAATCTTTAAGTTTGTAATAGACATCTTTTATTCACTAACAGAAGTTATCCAATTTTAATTTTTCTTTAATTTCAGGCGACATCTATTCTTCACTAGCGAAACTAATGTTACTAATTTCCTATTTTTTTATGGTCATTTACCAAACATGCTCAAATCAAAGCTTTTATCGGTTTTCCCTTCACATTTATATACGCAAATAACTACAGTAAGTATTTATTTAAAATAAATACAAATTTGTGAAGAATTATAAAAATTATTTATACTTTATCTATTAGAACATAGATGTCCATCTCTTACACATTGATTTAATTAAACAATTTACTTATTTTAGCTTTTATTAATCATAATAATTTTACATACAACACAAATTTAAGTATAATAACCCAATATTTATATACAGATAAGTTAATTATTAATAATCCCATCCAAGAATTGCATAAAATAATATTTTAATCATATCTACATCCACTCCTGCATCGCTAAGTTCTTGAATCAAAAGTTTAAATTCTTCATCAACAAATAAAAATTCTTCGAAGAAACTTTTCGATTCATTGCTTGATATTTTCAAGAAAAAATCAATAAAATCATTACTTCTTCGTAAAAGTTCGATAATTTTAAGTCGGGTATCATCGATAGAGTATACCTTTAAGAATTCATCAAAAAAAGTTTCAATACCTCCCAAATTTCCACCAGATCCGACCGTAATTTCGTTGATATCGCTTAAAATATTATTAACTTCTGATTCTAAATTAATATTATGATCGGTTTCCAGCCAGGTAGTAAAACTTTGAAATTGTTCGTTGATTACAATGCGAACAATAAATTCTTGAAATTTTGTATCCTCCGATTTTCCTTGAATATTTTTGATTATTTCTATAAATTTGTCGTCTTCTTGACTGAATATCTCTGTAAGATTACGCAGTTCTTCCCATGGAATAGTTGCGATTAACTCGTCTAAATCTTCACGCAGGGTTGATTGGGCTGATGTAGAAATGTTAAATATACCAAAACAACACAGAAGGAGTAATAAAACTTTCATGGTTTGTTGTAGATTTGTTACTATTAACACTAATTAAGAGAATTGAACTAGAAACTTATTAAAATTTTGGCGATATTCTTACCTTAAAAATTCATAAAGAATAACTGATTTGTTATAGAATTCTATATGAAAATTAATCTAATCTTTTCGTATCACTACTTCATTGAGATATGTGCTGACTAATATCAATACTTATTACGATTGATATTAATATTAGTCATGTTTTCAACACTATTTTGATAGTAACTGATCTGTTGGGTTGGTAATAATAATAAATAACATTTTATTGATTCATGGCAAATCATTTTCATCCACAATATTGTCCTCTAAAATTTTTACTTTTCGAGTTATAACAAGAAATTTTATCCCAAAAAATATCATTTTAGAGACTTTATGACTTTATGGTTTATAACTAAAAATGTAAGTTGTATGGAAAGAAATCGCTTATGGATTATCTTTTTATGATTAATTACAAAACATTTTTATTAATGTCATTTTCTCCCACAACTTTTAAATTTTGAGTTTAAAACTATTATGTTGTTAAATGCTTCAATTTTGAAATATTTGGGGTTTTAAATCTGTTGGGTTGGTAATAATAATAATTGGATTAAAATTACTTATAAATATCGTTTTATTGATTCATTGCAAATAATTTTCATCAACAATATCATCCCCTACCATTTTTAGGTCTCGAGTTATGACAAGACATTTTATTCAAAAATATAATTTTAGAGACTTTATGGTTTACAACTAAACATGTAAGTTGTTTGGAAACAAATCGGTTATGGATTATGTTTTTGTGATTAATTACAAACAGTTTTTATTAATGTCATTCTCCTCCACAACTTTTAAATTTTGAGTTAAAAACAATTTCGTTCATAAATGCTTCAAATTTGAAATATTTGGGATATTAAATCTGCTAGGTTGGTAATAATAATAATTGGAATAAAATCACTTATAAATATCATTTTATTGACTCATTGCAAATAATTTTCATCAACAATATTATCCCCTACCATTTTTAATTCTCAGGTTATAACAAAAAGTATTATCCAAAGATGTCATTTTAGAGACTTTAAGACTTTATGGTTTATAACTAAAAATATAAGTTGTTTGGAAAGAAATCGTTTATGGATTATGTTGTTGTGATTAATTACGAACAATTTTTATTAATGTCATTCTTCTCCACAACTTTTAAATTTTGAGTTAAAAACTATTTCGTTGTTAAATGCTTCAAATTTGAAATATTTGGGATTTTAAATCTGCTAGGTTGGTAATAATAATAATTGGATTAAAATTACTTATAAATATCGTTTTATTGATTCATTGCAAATAATTTTCATCAACAATATCATCCCGTACCATTTTTAGTTCTCGAATTATAACAAAAAGTATTATACAAAGAAGTCATTTTAGAGACTTTAAGACTTTATGGTTTATAACTAAAAATATAAGTTGTTTGGAAAGAAATTGTTTATGGATTATGTTTTTGTGATTAATTACGAACAATTTTTATTAATGTTATTCTCCTCCACAACTTTTAAATTTTGAATTAAAAACAATTTCGTTGATAAATGCTTCAAATTTGAAATATTTGGGATTTTAAATCTGATAGGTTGGTAATAATAATAATTGGATTAAAATCACTTATAAATATCGTTTTATTGATTCATTGCAAATAATTTTCATCAACAATATTATCCCCTACAATTTTTGGTTTTCGAGTTGTAACAAAAAATTTTATCCAAAAATATCATTTTAGAGACTTTAAGACTTTATGGTTTATAACTAAAAATATAAGTTGTTTGGAAAGAAATCGTTTATGGATTATGTTGTTGTGATTAATTACGAACAATTCTTATTAATGTCATTCCCTCCACAACATTTAAATTTTGAGTTAAAAACTATTTCGTTGTTAAATGCTTCAAATTTGAAATATTTAGTATTTTAAATCTGCTAGGTTGGTAATAATAATAATTGGATTAAAATCACTGATAAATATCGTTTTATTGATTCATTGCAAATAATTTTCATCAACAATATTATCCCCTCCCATTTTTAGGTCTCGAGTTATAACAAAAAGTTTTATCCAAAAATATCATTTTAGAGACTTTAAGACTTTATGGTTTATAACTAAAAATGTATGTAGTTTAGAAAGGAATCGTTTATGGATTGTCTTTTTGTGATTAAATACAAACAATTTTTATTAATGTCATTCTTCTCCACAACTTTTAAATTTTGAGTTAAAAATTATTTCGTTGTTAAATGCTTCAAATTTGAAATATTTGGGATTTTAAATCTGCTAGGTTGGTAATAATAATAATTGAATTAAAATCACTTGTAAATATTGTTTTATTGATTCATTGCAAATAATTTTCATCAACAATATTATCCCCTACCATTTTTAGGTCTCTAGTTATAACAAAAAGTATTATCCCAAGATGTCATTTTAGAGACTTTAAGACTTTATGGTTTATAATTAAAAATGGAAGTAATTTAGAAAGAAATCGGTTATGGATTATGTTTTTGTGATTAATTACAAACAATTTTTATTAATGTCATTCTCCTTTTAAATTTTGAGTTAAACACTATTTTGTTGTTAAATGCTTCAAATTTGAAATATTTGGGATTTTAAATCTGCTAGGTTGGTAATAATAATAATTGGATTAAAATCACTTATAAATATCGTTTTATTGATTCATTGCAAATAATTTTCATCAACAATATTATCCCCTCCCATTTTTAGTTCTCGAGTTATAACAAAAAATTTTATCCAAAAATATCATTTTAGAGACTTTAACACTTTATGGTTTATAACTAAAAATGTGTGTAGTTTAGAAAGAAATTGTTTATGGATTATCTTTTCGTGATTAATTACAAACAATTTTTATTAATGTCACTCTTCTCTACAACTTTTAAATTTTGAGTTAAAAACTATTCCGTTGTTAAATGCTTCAAATTTGAAATATTTGGGATTTTAAATCTGCTAGGTTGGTAATAATAATAATTGGATTAAAATCACTTATAAATATCGTTTTATTGATTCATTGCAAATAATTTTCATCAACAATATTATCCCCTACAATTTTTGGTTTTCGAGTTATAACAAAAAGTATTATCCAAAAATATCATTTTAGAGACTTTAAGACTTTATGGTTTATAACTAAAAATGTATGTAGTTTAGAAAGAAATTGTTTATGGATTATCTTTTCGTATCATAACATAATTACATAAGTCTTATCCATAAGTTTTAAATTTTGATGTCCTATTAGTGGTTTATATTAAAATGATTAAAAAAAAAACTAGAGTGATATTCACAGTACTTTTCCTTTATTTACAAGAGCTAGAATCATTTTAGTAGAATCCTGGTTTATTTACACATACTCAAGGGGAACTTCAGGGAAGTAAACTCTAGACCATCCAAGGAATTCTTTGATGAATTCTATGATGTATTCTACGTCAATTCCAGCTGTTTCCAAGAAGGCGATGATCTCTTGAACTTCATCGATCGCAAGAATTTCGTTTAAGAATTCCCTAGCGGTGTTGCTAGAAATGAAAGCGTAGAACGCTCGGAATGATTCGCTTTCGTTAAGTAAAACGTCGATTTGGGCAATGAGGGCATCGAATGGGATGAGTTCTTTAATTTCGTCGATAAGGGCTCTAAGTCCACCTAAATTGCCACCGTCTCCAGGTCTAGCATCGGCAATTAAATCGTGAATGATTCCAGCGATATTATCAATACTCACGCCGTTTTCAGAACAGAAGTTTTTGAAATTAATCCACGATGGGTTTCCGGCAACTCCGGCTACAAGTGCTCCCCATTCCGGTCCTTGAAGGTACCTATTAATAAAAAGTAACATCTATTTAATATTACTCTTTAAGCGACTATAAATAAACGTATGGATGTGTTACATACCTAAGCATATATTGAACTTCCTCATCACCTGCACTAAACCGTGAGATAGCAGCAATAATTTCATCAGTTGGGATCAACTCCACGATGGTGGCAAGGTCATCGTTTAATCCGCGTGTCTTCCCGGGGAAACCGAGCCTTATTTCTGCGTTAGCAGCAGCCAAAGCAAACAGAAAAACAATAATCTTCATATTGAACGGTATAATCAGTACCTGATTGATATAAGTCATTCTTAAAATCTCAGATATTTATATACTCTATATAATCTTACATCTAATCTTCGAGTGGTTTTGCATCACTAAAGATCGAACGTGGACCAATCGCTGGTTTAAGATATTCGATCAATAACCAACCTTGTATTAATCAGGAAAATCAGCGTGTATAAGATATCGATTTCGACAAGGTTAAACTACGCAATTTGGGGCTTTACCTGTACTCTTGTCTTTTTAATCTATTCGGTTTTATTTAGATAAATGTTGTTAGATTGTTTGTTGGAATCGTTATCGATTGCTATTGATGTGAGAAATCATTTTCCTCATATACAGGGTGTTTCATAATATATGGGCAGGACTTCATGATGTGATAGTTTGTACAAAAATTTTAAAAAAGTTTCTATCAACTTACCCTCTAAAATGCACCATTTTCTAGATACAGGGTGTTGAAATTTAATAAAAAAAATCGTTTTTTAACAGCGTTAACAGCGTTTGTAAGCATTTTCTACTCATAATAAGCTAAGTTTTGTGCGAGAAAATTTTTTTTTAAAGTCATAATTGGCGAAGTGGTTGTTTTTCCCCAACTTCTACGCCACTGGAAAAAGTACGGTTTTGAGATGTTGCGTTAGAGAGATGTTGGAAATGTTCGCCGTTAGCTTCAATGCAATTCTTCGACACATTGACTGTCTAACACGCAGGAAAATTCACGGAGTGTTCCGAATTATGTCGCAAGATACAACAATGCTGTCTCTTAATTGGTCAACATTTTCAACTTGAGTAGCGTAGACTAGGGTTTTCAGATGGCCCCAAAAGAAAAAATCTAAACAATTAAATTCGCGAGATCGCGGTGGCCAAGGGTGCGGACCTCCTCGACTGATCCAACGATCTGGGTATTCGTCGTTCAAGTATTGGCGATCAACCAAACTAAGAATATCATTAGATAAAACACACTTTTCGATAAAAGTTCATAATGAGAAATACGTCAATAATTTTGCTCCAAGATTTACTAACCTCAGCAATACTCAATTTTCAAACGACGACATAGATATTTTAAATTTGGGACATAAATACTCAATTCAAAAATATAAAAACCCTATAGAATTGGCCATAATACTGGAATCACAACTTCACAAACACAATAATTTCCATAATATAGCTAGTGAAAGCATAAAATATTTAAAAGACTCAAACACAAACAATAAAAACTCACAATACCAAGAGATTATAATGAGAAATATTAGTAAGCTCAAACAGAAGATAGATGATAATAACCTGATTGTAACGCCAGGCGACAAGAATGCAGGGCTAGTCATACTCGATACATTGACATACATTGACAAAACTATAGAATTTTTGAAACAAAATAACATACAACACATTAATAAGGACCCCACCTTGCAATATCATAAAAAACTTAAAGTCTTAATAAATAAAAATAAGATAAGCCTGGAGAAATTTAACATAAATACTTATAACTCAGTCCAAATGAACCCTCTAACACCTTGTTTAAAATGTCTCATAAAATTGCATAAAATAGACCATAGCATTAGGCCCATTGTGAGTAATGCTAACACTCCATCTGAAAAGATCTCTAAAAACATTCAAAGATTTCTCTATGAAATCTTTACTTCTACAATAAAACATAATATAAATAACTCCATACAACTAATATACAAACTTAAGGATGTCACTATCAATAATAAATCAAGGCTTATTTCGTTTGACATAAAGAATTTGTATACCAACATACCAGTAAACGACACTATGCACATCATTAAAAAGACACTCTTACAGAACATCAATGACTTTTATGACATTAAAACTGAAGACATTGATAACCTCATTGAAGTAATTAATCACGTTTGCAAGCAGAACTTCTTCATTTTCAATAATAAATACTATATGATGAAAGATGGTTTACCAATGGGGTCTCCAGTATCGGGTATACTTTCTGACATCTTCGTTAGTTCCTTTGAAAGCACTCTATTTTCCGACAAATACCGTTTATTTACAAAAGATATTAAGTTCTACACTAGATACGTCGACGATATATTAATGGTTTACGAGGGTAACCACGCAATGCTTAGCGCCCTCATGAATGTCTTTAATAATATTAGCTGTCTACAANTTTTTCGCGTTTAGACAGTTGACATCCCGTTCCACCCTTTCTTAACATTTTTATGGTAGATTTAGCAGCAAAAAAATTATATGAAAATTGTTTTTTAATCAATCTTAACAAATTTGATAGACAGTGGTGGCACACAATTAAAGTAAAAGTCACGACATGCGCTTTTACTTTCAATACTAACTTGACTTTTACTTTTAATTATTCAATAACTATAAGAAATATACCCCACAAACTATATATATTTGTTATCAGAAGAAAATAACAAATTATTTTAAGTCATACCCAACTATGATTTCCATTTAAAAAAATAAAGTTACGTCTAAAATCTCGAAAATAAAAGATGGGAAAAAAATTCTACCTACGCCACTGCATTCTTCGTAAAAAGTTGCCCATATAATATTTTATTTATAATACTCCATCTTTGATAATATGTGAGATATTCGCTATTGTCGTTTTCGCAAAATTTTCAGTTTTTGCCGAGTTTAGCTGTTCGGAGTTTTCGGCATTAGCATTTCCTCGAAAAACGAGATCATGACATGTAAGCTACTTTTTTTCCTTCTCTTTTAGTTTCGGAGATAGCCTATGCGGACATCGAAATTGGGACACCCTGTACTTCTTCTAGAAATCGATAATCTGCACCGTATAATCTGTTCGGTAAAAAATGTGGGGCTATCAAATGATCACGGACGATGACAGCCCAAACATTTACGGAAAATTATTGCTGATGATGGCCTTCTGCAATTTTACGTGGATTTTCTTCTGCCTATATGTGGTTATCGTGAAAATTGAAAATACCATCCTTCGAGAAAGATGCTTCATCGGTAAACAGAACTTCAAACTTAGGATTTTGAGCTATTTTGTCTTGCATCCATGTACAAAAAGCCAATCTTGCCAAAAAATTTCTTGGCAATAAGGCTTGTACTCTTTGGGTGTGGTAGGGATACAAAAGTTGCCTTTTCAAAATTTTCCAAACCGTCTAGTGAGATAGGTTTAAGTTATGAGCAATTTTTCTTTTTTTTGCAATTTACTTGGGAATTTGCAACTTCCATAGGCCGCCCATTATCAGTATTTCTTTTAAAAGTTCCATTTTACCATAGTCGTTGGTGAATGCGTAGAAACAAGTTATGGTGTGGTACTGGGCGATCAGGATGTCTTTCTTGATACAACCGCCTTGCTTCTGCCGAATTACCGCACCCCATTCCGTAAAGGTAATGCATTTCGCACATTTCAGCGTTTGTGTAATTTATTTTTAATTTTGTAATACAAATTTACTCTTTGCAGGTACAAACTAATTGTTATTTTGACAGGAGGTAGCTTTTGTTATAAAATTGAAAGCCTACTTGTTGAAAAAAAATTAGACAAGCTATCACATCCTGAAGTCCTGCACATATATTATGAAACACTCTGTATAATTGTATTCAATTTTGTATAACCTGTTAATAATAATATATTTTTGGGTAGTTCGTTTTTATACAAAATGAAATAAGACGTTTAAAATTGCATGAATNCTGCGGTGAGTCGAAACATATGTAGCACAGATCCTGAATAGTTAATAAAAATTTTTCATCTTTACATCTATATTCCTTTATCTATACATCAAAGATGAACCTGGAGAATCTAATAGCTATAATAACCAAACTAAAGTGGGCCGGAGCTCCATCGTGCATAAAGTACCTGTTTTGTCTTACTTGAAGCGGTGCATCTTCCAGCAGTTCCAGCAGTACTTCTTCTAGAAATCGATAATATGCACCGTATAATCTGTTCGGTAAAAAATGTGGGCCTATCAAATGATCACGGACGATGACAGACCAAACATTTACGGAAAATTGTTGCTGATGATGGCCTTCTGCAATTTCATGTAGATTTTCTTCTGCCTATATGTGGTTATCGTGAAAATTGAAAATACCATCCTTCGAGAAAGATGCTTCATCGGTAAACAGAACTTCGGCTCCAAACTTAGGATTTTGAGCTATTTTGTCTTGCAACCATGAACAAAAAGCCAATATGGTAGGGATACAAAAGTTGCCTTTTCAAAATTCTCCAAACCGTCGAGTGAGATAGGTTTAAGTTATGAGCAATTTTTCTGGTACTTGTGGTCGGATTTTCATCAATTTCGTTCTTCCACTTGGGAATTTGCAACTTCCATAGGCCGCCCATTATCAATATTTCTTTTAAAAGTTCAATTTTATCATAGTCGTTGGTGAATGCGTAGAAATAAGTTATGGTGTGGTACTGGGCGATCAGGATGTCTTTCTTGATACAACCGCCTTGCTTCTGCCGAATTACCGCAACCCATTCCGTAAAGGTAATGAATTTCGCACATTTCAGCATTTGTGTAATTTATTTTTAATTTTGTAATATAAGTTTACTCTTTGCAGGTACAAACTAATTGTTATTTTGACAGGAGGTATTAATTAGAGGTGTAAATTAGACAAGCTATCACATCCTGAAGTCCTGCACATATATTATGAAACACTCTGTATAATTTTATTCAATTTTGTATAACCTGTTAATAATAATATATTTTTGGGTAGTTCGTTTTTATACANAACACAAATTTGAAAAGAACGAAATGAGTGGTATTTATAGATTAAAATGTAACGACTGCGAGAAATTTTATATAGGACAAACAGGAAGAAATATTACTATAAGATACAAAGAGCATATTACAAGAAACACCTCCGCCTTTCATAAACACCTTGAAGAATATAAACATAAACCTAATAAAATGGACATAAACATTATTAAAAACCTTAAAAAATCAAAATTGCTAGACTCTCGTCTGAGTCGGTTTTGTATCGTATTCGTTTTAATTTTTAATGTGTAACAAATTGAATTGTGATTGTATCTGATTATTCAAGAATTTTTCCGTTGTTTTAAAGTACCATAACATTTGGTTGTAGTGTCTGTACACGAGAAAACATTTGTTTAAACATTGATATTTATGTTGAGGTCATTACTCTACAACCTTCACTTGTGAACCCATTTGACGGTAATTAATTTAATATTTTTATTTATATTATTTACTTTATATATTATTTTAGTCGTGCCTGATGACGACTCTGCGGTGAGTCGAAACATATGTAGCACAGATCCTGAATAGTTAATAAAAAAATTTTCCATCTTTACATCTATATTCCTTTATCTATATATCAAAGATGAACCTGGAGAATCTAATAGCTATATGGATAATATTAAGTTTATGATGCGGCTAATAGACAAAATATTCTAAGAGAGTACAAAATCGAAATTCAGAAGCGACAGGTAATGTTTCACATTGAAACTATTACAAAGACTTGTGGTACTTCACTACTAATGCTATTAAAAATGAAAAGAGCTATTCCAAACACATTTCGAATAAACCTGATTATAAGCAGAGATGGGAAGGTTTAAAACATTTGCAAATTAAATCAATGAATCATAATAGTAGCCAATTACCCATACAGTTGCAGAATCCTGATAGCATAAATAGTTTCTTTGCAAAGTGTTCAAGATTTCCTTGACGATATTGCGTTGGGCGAGGCTGATGACTGCTATAAAGAGTTTCCAGCCTTCACTTCTAATGTCTTTTCATTTCGAACGGTTACCACGTCTGAGATTATGGAGATTATTTCGGTGATAAGCTATTCATCGATGGGAACTGACTCGGTTGGCATTAGTTTAGTATTTGACGCACATATTGAATTCTTGTTTGGTTGAAAATATTTTTCCTGATTAGTGGAAACGGGCTGTTATACTTTCATTACCAAAGAGAAACAATCCAGTTGGTTATGGGGACTTGCGTGCGATCAATATTTTGCCAACTGTGTCTAAGATCTTAGAAAAAATAATGAAAAATCAATTAATCCCTTATATTGAACAGAACAACTTGTTACCAGTTCAGCAATTCAGTTTTCGTTCAGATCATAGTTGCACAGCTATGCTAAGATTCACTGATGATGTTTTGGGTGCAGCTGATAATGCTTTGGGATGGTTTAGGTATGCTAACAGCGGTGGTACTCTTGGATTTCTGTAAGGCATTCGACACCATTGATCATACATTACGTTGTCGCATACTGAGGTTATTGGGACTGGACATTTAAAATTATGAGATACACCTTTGCAGCGCGTGGATAGTGTGAAGTGCTTGGGTCTAAGACTTGATAATAGCTTTAGATATCGTAGGCAGATCAATGATTATATAAAGAAATCGTATTTCTATCTATGGAGGCTATATCCTCATAGGGCATATCTGTCATATAATATCAACAAACAATTATGTGATACTTACGTAATTTATATGGCAGCAATTTACCATGCTGGTCGACATGGATACGTCTTATCGCATGCAGAAAATACAAAACTGCTGCCTCCGTTACATCTATGAACTCAGAAAGTATGACCGAGTATCGCACAGGCTGAAGGATACGAACTGGTTGAAAATAAGTTCTAGACGCGAACTGCTTACTTTATTACTGTTTCATAAAGTCGTCACATCACGGACCACACGATATCTCTATGACAAAATTGTATTTAAGATGACAGAAGATATCCAACCAAGTTTTGTCTTACCATCATACCACCTAAATATAGAACATCGTTGTTTCAGCGGTCTTTCACATACCATGTCTACAAACCTTACGGGAGTTTGCCAATGTTGTTTCNGCTATTATTGAGTTTGTCATTGAGAGCTTCAAGTACGGCTTGAAGATCCAAAATAGCAAGGACTTCATCGACGAAATCTCTTACACTACGAACTTCGGATTTCTTGGCTACGGGAATTGGAGCTCCGGCGATGAGGTCGTGGAGGAATTGGATGACTCCATCAATATCTACTCCAGCATCGGACATGTAAGCTTTGAATCTTTGCCATGTTTCGTTGTCGGCAACTGTTTGAACAAGCTCAGCCCATTCGGGTCCTTGCAAATATTTTACAACTTCTTGGAATTCGGCATCGTTTTCAGCATATTTACGAGCAATTGCTCTGATTTCGGATAATGGAATGGTTGCGACGATATCTTCAAGATCGCCTTGAAGATCTCTGTTGGTCGGATAAGCCGAACCCAAAGCTACGACGGCGAAAAGTACCAAAGCGAGTTTCATCTGCAAAATCATGAAAATATTGTTGTAATGTTAAGAAAAGAAAGAAAATTTATAATTTTTATATCTTACCTTGTATGAAGAGACAACTCAAGTTGAATGATTCTCCCATCGTCAGGTTAGCTTTATATACTGTTCGATTTTCGAAAAAATGTATTATTATCACGAAAAAATAGTAAACCTTATCATTTCGAGCGATTTTTAACTAAAACTTATTTTTCTAAAAACACTTAAGTGGTATTGCGGTTTTATATTTAATCACATTATCGATAACTAATAGTTTAATTATTATCACGGTAAACATATTTTTTATAACAAGCTTGAAGCACTATTGATGTTACACGTTTTTGACGTAAAGTCAATCTGATTGTTTTTAAAAGAAGTTTTATTTGTAAACGAGATGACAGCGAAAAAAGAATTCTTTTTAATAAACGTAACGGTTTTGGAAGGTAGACATTTTGCTTGGCCCTCAATGGACTCTTACGTTAGGATCAAAATCGGAAATTTCTCCCAAAAAACCGGCGTGAGAAAAAGCACGGATTGCCCTTTTTTTAACGAAGTATGTTTCCTATTTACAGCAGTAATTTAAAGCTCCAAGGTCCATTTTCAATCTATAAGTGCTAAACAAATATCCCGAATTACATAAGCATTTAATGGATCGTAGATTAATTCTAGAAGGCACTTTTAATTATGAATTTTTCCCTTTTCATATTATTACGATTAAAGGTCTCGTGCAAATACTCGATGCGATTTAAATATTATCGTATAAAAAATTGCATGCGCTGCTGATTTTTAACTTTTACCCACTCGTATCTTATTCGATTTTTAATTAAATTTTAAAAATATAAGTATTTATAACCAACCCAGTGATAACAAGAAAAAAATTATAGCGAAAAATGTACCTAATCTAATTCAAAAACAAAGTGGTTTCTTTTGATAGCGACAAAATCAGAAAAGAAGATTCAAACTTGAAGATCAAGCTGTGAGACTGGTTTCAACGAGAAAATCGTTCTTGTTAGTAAAATGTAAGTTTAACCTTTCCCATATTCCTTCATTTGTGATATTTGAAATATTTTTATTAACAATACAACACAAAATTTGCCAAAAATTAAAAACCATTATTGTAGATATTCAATTTCTAAGTTGTATTTAGTAACCTAGCTGGAGAAGCAAACAAAATGTTCAATAAATCAAAAAAATGATCGATCCTTAGGTATATGTAGCTGCTTTCCTTCAGGTATTTTCTAATCTCAACTTGAGCTTCTTTTTGCTCAAAAAAGATTAATGAGTCCAGATGGTAAAACTTTGGCAATAACTTTTTTATATGATATGAGCGAACTGAAGCAACATATACATCTTATAAAAAAAATTCTGCTCTTTCTAAGGACATATATCAACAGATGATTGCAAGTTTGCACAAGTATTACTTGCAGAAAAATTGTTTTTTTATGCCTATTTTCGTGGTGTTTTAATATTTTCCGGGACAATACCATCTTTATATGATATGACTAAAGTGAAGCAACACATAAATCTTATAAAAAATTTTCTGCTCTTTCTAGTGATATATGATAAAAGTTGATTCTACCTCGTCACAAGTAGTTACTTGCAAAAATCCACCATCATCCTATATTTTCTTGGTGTTTTAACATTTTTAGGAACAATACCATCTTTATATGATAAGAAGAAACTCAAGCAGCATACGCATCTTATAAGCAATAGTTTGAGCTCTCTAATGATATATAATGAAAGTTGATCACACGTTTGTATAAGTCATATTTCACCGAAAACGGCTAAAATTGTATTTTTACCAGTTTTTAAATATTACATGTGTAATAACTTCTTTATATGATATAACGAAAGTAAAGCAAATCATATATCTTAAAAAAAATTTTCTGCTCTTTCTAGTGATATATGATACAAGTTGATTCCACCTCGTCACAAGTAGTTACTTGCAAAAATCCACCATCATCCCATATTTTCCTGGTGTTTTAATATTTTAAGGGACAATACCATCTTTATGTGATAAGAAGAAACTCAAGCAGCATACGCATCTTATAAGCAATTGTTTGAGCTCTCTAATGATATATAATGAAAGTTGATCACACCTTTATATAAGTCATATTTCACCAAAAACGGCTAAAATTGTATTTTTACCAGTTTTTAAATATTACTTGTGCAATAACTTCTTTATATGATATAACGAAAGCGAAGCAACACATACATCTTATAAAAAAATGTCTGCTCTTTCTAGTGATATATGATAGAAGTTGATTCCACCTCGTCACAAGTAGTTACTTGCAAAAATTCACCATTATCCCATATTTTCCTGGTGTTTTAACATTTTCAGGAACAATACCATCTTTATATGATAAGAAGAAACTCAAGCAGCATACGCATCTTATAAGCAATTGTTTGAGCTCTCTAATGATATATAATGAAAGTTGATCACACCTTTATATAAGTCATATTTCACCAAAAACGGCTAAAATTGTATTTTTACCAGTTTTTAAATATTACTTGTGCAATAACTTCTTTATATGATATAACGAAAGCGAAGCAACACATACATCTTATAAAAAAATGTCTGCTCTTTCTAGTGATATATGATAGAAGTTGATTCCACCTCGTCACAAGTAGTTACTTGCAAAAATCCACCATCATCCCATATTTTCCTGGTGTTTTAACATTTTCAGGGACAATACCATCTTTATATGATAAGAAGAAACTCAAGCAGCATACGTATCTTATAAGCAATTATTTGAACTCTAATGATATATAATGGAAGTTGATCACACCTTTGTATAAGTCATATTTCACCAAAAACGGCTAAAATTGTATTTTTACCAGTTTTTAAATATTACTTGTGCAATAACTTCTTTATATGATATAACGAAAGCGAAGCAACACATACATCTTATAAAAAATTTTCTGCTCTTTCTAGTGATATATGATAGAAGTTGATTCCACCTCGTCACAAGTAGTTACTTGCAAAAATCCACCATCATCCCATATTTTCTTGGTGTTTTAACATTTTCAGGGACAATACCATCTTTATATGATAAGAAGAAACTCAAGCAGCGTATGTATCTTATAAGCAATTATTTGAACTCTAATGATATATAATGGAAGTTGATCACACCTTTGTATAAGTCATATTTCACCAAAAACGGCTAAAATTGTATTTTTACCAGTTTTTAAATATTACTTGTGCAATAACTTGTTTGTATGATATAACGAAATTGAAGCAATACATACATCTTATAAAAAATTTTCTGCTCTTTCTAGTGATATATGATAGAAGTTAATTTCACCTCGTCACAAGTAGTTACTTGCAAAAATCCACCATCATCCTATATTTTCCTGGTGTTTTAACATTTTTAGGGACAATACCATCTTTATATGATAAGAACAAACTCAAGCAGCATACGTATCTTATAAGCAATTGTTTAGGCTCCCTAATGGTATATGATGACAGTTGATCATACGTTTGCATAAGTTATATTACACTAACAATTACTAAAATTGCATCTTTACCAGCTTTTAAATATTACTCGGGCAATAATTTCTTTATATGACATGATGAAAGTGAAGCAACACATACATCTTATAAGAAATTTTCTGCTCTTTCTAGTGATATATAATAAAAGTCGATCGCCCCTGTGCACAAGTAATTACTTACAAAAAATCAAGCATCATCTCATATTTTCCTATTGCTCTCACATTTCCGGGACAATACCATCTCTATATGATAAGACGAAATTTAGGCAGAATATATATCTTATAAAAAATTGTGTAAGCTTTCTAATGATGTATAATATTAGCCGATCACACGTTTATATTAGCTATATTTGCTCAAAACCTACTAAAATTAAATGTTTTCTTGTTATCAATCTTTAGTAGTATCTTGAGTTAATTCGGGTTATTTGTTTGGCACATTACATTTAGTAAAATTAATTATTATCATTCGTTTTCTTAGTATTTCGTTTTTGAGTTCAGAACAGATCTTCAAACTCTCCTAGATAAACAAATTTTGATAACGGTAAGTTAACGTTATTTTTGAACTTGTTACAATTAAATAACTTTTTCTTGTTAATAGGTTATAAAGCCTGGAAAGTGTTGGTGTAGGAAAAAAAGTTTGGGATTTTGTAGACTCGATGTAGCCACGGTTTGGAATCAACCAGACCATATTTTTTATCAAAAATGGGCAATCCTCACATCGAAATCTCCGAAACATACAGGACCGAGAGGTTATTTAAAAATAACTTTCACCGTTCTTACAAAGGACAGTCAAGCCAAAGTGCCTTTGGCTAATCCGAACATAAACGATGAAATCGAAGGAAATCTTTTGCTTCCGGACGGTTTAACGTTGCAGAGACAACGGGCGATTTTTATATTTAAAATTTATAGAGGAGAAGATATTTTAAAGAAAAAAACTATCTTAGATAATTGTAGGAATAAAACTAAAGTTGGAATGCCAAGTACTTTAATTGAAATAAGCTTTGCGGGAATAACTGTAGGTATACAATGTTTTCATCATCATTTTTATAGCAAAGTACTTATTTTGGCAAATCAAAATTGTTTATGTCGCATACGATTAAAACTCGGTTCATAATCAGTTTATCTACTAAGCTGCAGCTTATCTTGCGTTGGGATCTGTGCTATTCTAGCTGTGTGTTGTATTTTTAGCCAATATTTGTTACTTCCATGAGAAACTGCAACTACCACTCAATAAGAAAATAAATGTGGCCTTAAGATTAACGTAAAAAAAAGACAAGTTATAATCGTGATGTTGGATGTACATGCTCCGAATTCCGTGGAACAGAGGAACTGAGCTTTCTTGGACACATTACACGAGGAGATTGTAATAATATGGAGAGGTTGATAATATTGGGAAATGTAGAGCAACGAAAGTCGAGAGGAGGGTCATCAACCCAATGGACGGGCCTGAATCAGAAGATTATTTATTATAAGTTGCCAATGATCATGATTTTCAGTAATGAGAGAACGACTAGAAAGAAGAAGATAATACGCAGGAATGTTTTTATGACATCAAGCTAATCATATGACAATATCACACAGAGTGGCGTTAGCTTTTTTTCTTCTGCTTTCGTAGATCGCATTAAAGTTTCTGCATATATTTGATCTTGTATTTCGTTTTTATACAAAAAGAAATAAGACGTTTAATATCACATGAATTTATTTAATGAAAAGTATATCAAAAGTACAAAACTTAAAATATAGGTTAATTATTTGGACCATCCCAAAAGACCGTAGACTAAGTCGATAACTTTGTCAACGTCAATACCCATTTCGCGGAGACGTTGGGCGATGCGTTGAACCTCGGGAATAGCACGGATTTCTTCGACCATTTGATGAGCATCTTCGCTGGAGATTTTTCCAAAGAATTCTTGGAATTCGGCGCTATTATTGAGTTTGTCATTGAGAGCTTCAAGTACGGCTTGAAGATCCAAAATAGCAAGGACTTCATCGACGAAATCTCTTACACTACGAACTTCGGATTTCTTGGCTACGGGAACTGGAGCTCCGGCGATGAGGTCGTGGAGGAATTGGATGACTCCATCAATATCTACTCCAGCTTCTGACATGTAAGCTTTGAATCTTTGCCATGTTTCGTTGTCGGCAACTGTTTGAACAAGCTCAGCCCATTCGGGTCCTTGCAAATATTTTACAACTTCTTGGAATTCGGCATCGTTTTCAGCATATTTACGAGCAATTGCTCTGATTTCGGATAATGGAATGGTTGAGACGATATCTTCAAGATCGCCTTGAAGATCTCTGTGGGTCGGATAAGCCGAACCCAACGCTACAACGGCGAAAAGCACCAAAGCGAGTTTCATCTGCAAAATCATGAAAATATTGTTGTAATGCTAAGAAAAGAAAGAAAATTTATAATTTTTATATCTTACCTTGTATGGAGAGGCAACTCAAGTTGAATGATTCTCCCATCGTTTAGTTAGCTTTATATATTGTTCGATTTTCAAAAAAATGTATTGTTATCACAAAAAAATAGTAAACCTTATCATTTTGACTGAAAAAAACTATTTTAGATAATTGTAGGACAAAAACTAAAGTTGAAATGTCAAGTACTTTAATTGAAATAAGCTTTGTGGGAATAACTGTAGCTATACAGTGTTCTCGATCATTTCTTATAGCAAAGTACTTATTTTGGAAAAGCGAAATTGTTTATGCTGTATGGGATTGAAACTCGGTTCATAATCAATTTACCTACTAAGTTGTTGCTTACATTGAGTTGATATCTGCGCTATTCTAGCTGTGTGTTGTATTCTTGGCCAATAGATGTTACTTCCATGAGAAACTTCAACTACCACTCAATTAGAAAGCCGATCTATTGCTGGCATAGATCTTAGGATCTTTTGTAATCTACAAAGCATGCGTAGATATCGATGAAAATAGAGTCTCTCGTGTTCCTATTCCATTTCTGAAAATGAAATTGGGCTTCACTGATTTGTCTTTCGTAATTTTTATTTTTCCTATACAAGGTGATTTTCAACCTATACGCATAAACTTGGGTATTTACTCCTCATGACGAATAATGACTAATAGGCGAAAAACTTTGTAGTAAGAAATTTTCTGTTTCATAGATATCCGTGATATTTACTTTCAAATCAAAAAACATAGAACATTTTAAAATAACATCAAAGCTAGTGTTCGAAGTTATTTCCCATATTATAACCTGAAAAATACTGAGGATACAACTTTGATAGCTGCATCAGAAGAGGTGATCTTCTAAACGGAGTTGAGACTGAGAGTAATAAAGGTTGCCCTAAGATTAACGTACAAAAAACCTAAAGTTATAATCGTGATGCTAGATGTACATACTCCGAATTCCGTGGAACAGACTATTTTCCTTTTGAAAGAGTTATACATGTTGCAAGATTAATGATCAAATAAAAACTATATATTAACTTCTAACTAGCATTTATTTATACGGTATGTCCCCGGATAGAGTTACAAAGAGGAAAAGAAAATTGATTACAGATTTTTCAAACTTATTTCAGCATAAATAATGCGTCGGATATGTTCAAACCACTAAATCGCACGAATTTTATACTTTAACTATAGAAGTTAACTAATTATTCCCATTTTTATGTAAAAATTGGTCTTTTCTCTAA